AAGCAAGCCCATTCTTTACATCTGCAAAAGCGAGGCTGTCCATCCCTGTTGAGGGAGCTGACAGAGGAAACAGATTTTCCAGCAGTCCTGGGTACAACCTATTTTTACCATGTGCTCTGCACTACATGCATTAATTGTTATGACAACATTTGCTGACATATTCACTTCAATCATTCACAGAACAGAAGCCCAAGAGACAAAACAAGCCCCTGCTCCATGAGACAGAGGGAGGGAGGCAGGATGCCACAGTGCTTCCTGTGACACACAGCTCATCTGCAATGGCTGATGGCACAGATAACCCAGCCCTTGGAGGAGAGGGAGAGGGACCCAGCTCATGCATCAGCATTTGCCATCCTCCTTCTCCTGCCCAGCATGGACACAGCAGCACTTGGGTGTTTCTGGAGCCCTGCTTGTCTGCCCACTGTGCTCCCCCACTGCAGGGGCAGCCAAAATCCTCTGTCACCCCCCTGTCACCCCTCTGTCAACTCTCCATCACCCCTCCATTGCCACTCTGTCACCCCTCTCTGTCGTCTGTCTGCAAGGAGGGGGCAGAGCTCAGAGCAGTTTGGGAGCCCCAAGGTCTATGACCCAGCTCCAGAGCTGCACAGACAAGCTGGCAAGCACAGCTCAGCAACTTCAGGATTCAGCCTCCATCCTAATTAAGCCCAATTAGGTTTGCAAAGAATGAGGATGTTTTAGAAAGAATGTACAAAAGAACTACTGAGGTCTCGGTTGGCCACGGGGGCTGGAGCAGCCTCCTCAAGGCAGGACTTCCACTGTTGATGGGGGCTGGAAGTTCTCTGTGGTGCTGGAGGATGATCCCATTCCCTGTGTGCTCCCCTTACAGGAGGATGATCCCATTCCCGTGTGCTCCCCTCGCACACAGCCCTGGGCACGGGCAGCTGGCAGAGCTGGGATTCTCCTCCAGAGCATCAGCAGCACATCAGCCAAGCTCGTGCTGTCTGCTGAGACAGCTGGGCAAAATCAGCTCCAAAATGCCAAAGCCTTAAATGTAGGTAAATGCATGATTCAGAAGAAGGAGAAGTCTGACAAATCAGCATCTCCCCATGCCGAGGGGTATAAAACATGCAGCTGTYCCACCAGCACCATTTACAGGGAAGTGTTTCTCCTGCAAGTAAGAGAACACTTAGAATATATTCCTAGCCAGATTGATTACCCCTATTTATATTGTAAACTAAGACAGCATGTACTAAATCCATAGAGTTAACCAGTTCCAGACCCCAGATCCTGAGCGAGGGGTCAGTTTTCCATCGGCTGCTGTACAGCTTTGTGCATTTATTAGAGAGCACAGAGTTTCCTGCAGCATGGTTTTGTGTGTGTGTGTGTGTGTGTGTGTGCTGATTTTTGTGGTATTTCAATAACCATCAGGAGGAACACTGCTATTTTATGGGATGTCAGGGAACTGGAGAATCCATGAGGTTTTTGAAAGGTTTGTTTAAAAGAGCCAAGAAGCCAGTGTGCCACTATAAATATATATATGTTTAACAACTGCAATCTGTTCTGGGACAATAAAASCACAGGACTGAAGGCAGTATCCTAATCAGAATATATCCACTTATCCTGCAGTAAGATGAACTGCTGTTCTATGGAGTTGACCTGCAGGGAGTTCCATYGGTCTCCTCTCAGACAACCTGCCCAGCTGGACAACTCTCGTTTTCTCTCTAAGTTACAGATCCAGTTTCAACATCTGACAGCAGATATAAACAGAGGTCTAAGATACATTCTCTGGTGTGTCTGCTCAGGAGTCAGTGCTGCTCCCAAACCATTTGTGCAATTCACTGGGCCAGCAGACCCCAGATCTCCACCATGAAGCACCAAAGTAGACTCATTGGCTTGTTTATCCTTAAGAAAAAGCTGATTTTCTAACCAACTTCCTTCTTTTTCTCTCTTTAAATACTGATCAGGTGAGGTACATTGAAGTTGCCTGTTGGTTTATACTGCAGTTTTGGAAGAGATAGGTTTTGGTGTGTTGCTGTAACAAATGCAAGAGTGAAATTGGAAGAGATGGCGATTTGAGCTAACACAATTAAAATTTATTCTTAACAGCAATCCATAGATATCCAGTGCCAAACACAATCTGGAGTCATCAACTAGCATGGACATGAATTAACCTAATAGCTTCTGAAAAAAAMCAGAAGTCCTAAGAAAAAATGCTCYTATTRAAGTAATTTACTGATAACAGAATCACAGAGCCATAATTAAACATGGTTTATAATTAAAACAGCATGTGTCCTAGACAGAGAACACAGCAACAAAGAGAGTATAACCATGACAGTTGATGCCAAAACACATGCCAAGTACCAAAAATCAGAAAAACAGGCGAGTTTCTAGCAAAACTGCAGACACAGAGCCTCTGATCCTCTGACTGAGCCCTCAGCACTGTGATGGACGTGGGTGCACTCAGAACTCCTCATGGCTTTGCCAGGAGCTGCCAAAGTTCAAGCAGAACTCTTGGGAACCAGGGAGACACGGAGTGCAAGGCCCAGCAGCCCAAGAGTGTGCAGGGAGTGGCGAGCGAGCGGGAGCCACGGCTTGAGCCAGCCTGGTCCTACCTGGCAGCGGCTGAAGATGTCACTCAGAGACACCTGGACATTGAAATGCTTCAGCACCTGCAGCGCCTGTTCCTTGGCCTTGTCGGAGCAGTTCACAGAGAAACACCTTCCCTCTGCCACCTGGGAGCGCAGCTGCAAACCAAACAGGCACTGGTGAGGCCAGGCATGGGCCATGGGGGGCTGTTCTGGTACTCTGCATTTGCTTTGAATTCCAAATAATGCTTGGAGGGAGGATTTGTTTACAGCCTGATTGCTGGTCTAAGCACCATAATTAGAAAMTTAACAGTCACTGCTGCAAGAGCTCTGACTCTTGAGCACTGCAGTATTTTATATGTGTGAAACATGATTTAGGCTGGAGAAAAGCAGGTTCAGGGGGCACCTTCTCACCCTCGACAACTCCTGACAGAAGAGGCAGCCTGGAAGGTTTGAACAAACCATGTGTTTGAACAAACCATGAAAATCTGAATCATATTRRATTCAGACTGGAATATGCCACACTGTATGTCTGCTGCTTATGTTGCATCCTACATCTGTGAGGCAAACATAGAAGAAAATGAAGACCCCTGGCAGAAAGGAAAATACAGAAAAAAATAGTCTCATCCTTATAATCTCATCTTATTTTGTGGTCCCCAGGAAATTTGCGACACTATTTGTCAACTGAATAAACACACCTTATTGGAATAAACAGAATATCTGGAATGGCAATTTATTTCCAAGGGGGCAATTGCAAGTGGCTTGCAAGTACGCYGCCTCTTTGGGACACAGAAATTCAGCAAAAGGTTGTTTGTTCGGGTTTTGTTTTGTTTTGGTTTTTTTTTTTAAGGGCTGTCTCCTCTCCCAGTTCACAAGTGACAGAACAAGAGGAAATGGTGTCAAGAGGAGGTTAAGATTGGATTTGGGGAACATTTCTTCACAGAAAGGGGATCAGGCATGGGAGTGAGTTGTCCAGGGAGGTGGTGGAGTCGTCTCTGGAAGTGTTCAAGAATCAGCTGGATGTGGCACTCAGTGACATGGATTAGTGGGGACCATGGCRGTGGTGCTGGGTTAACAGCTGGACTTGATCATCTCAAAGGTCTTTTCCAACCTTAACAATTCCATGATTCTATTCTACAGAACATACCCAAATCCCATCAGCTCATAATTTGGTGAGGTGGCGCTGACAGGGGCAGCAGAGGAAACTGAGCTCAGTCCCTGCTTTCTGATGAAACTTGCCCAGACCCCACAGTGTGCCAAAGCATGATGATGGAAACAACGTCCAGTGACCACTTCAGCCCCTCTGATTCACACAAATGTTACTCTTGGAGTTCCCTGCTGGCCAAGAAATGTGAAGGGATTGATGTGGAGTGTCCCTCAATGTTTGTTCCACACTTAGCAGAGAAGTCTGCATCTGGGAATGAGCACTGGGAATTGCCAGACACCTTTTCATGACCATGCTAAGGACTCAGGAGTGGGATCAGCTACACACCAGTGAAGGAGCCTGGCAGAGCCATCCTGTCTTTGTGGAGGACATCCAAAGGCAAGGGAACCAAGGGAACCAGATTGTTTACCTGGAGTACTGTACCCTCCAAACAATTATTTTCCTTTTGCAATTCCTACACAGCACTTTGAAGTTAATGCTCTGCCAAGCAAGATGATGCTGGATACTGAATTCCCTCTTACACCAGCTGTAGGCTCAAGGAACCTGCAGGGTGGCTGCACCTGCCTCACATTTTCTCATCATGGGGGAACTTTTATTCCACACTCATCTTTTACACATAAAATTAGCAACCCCTATTGTGCAGATACTCCAACTGGCTGCTTGAGTAGCTGGGAGCTTTTGTACTGACAGTTTGTGACAAAGAAGTCCTGCACCCTGGCTCATGTGAACAGAACTCTGGCTAATCCAGAACAGTTTTGCTCTTCCAAATGGATTTTTGGGCAGTGAAAAATTGCAGAGGAGCTGCAACAGGGCATCACAGCATTGCACAACCACTGACTTGGCAGGTTCAGCACTGCATTTTGAAGCGTGTCTGYGAACAGCTCTGAACTGTGGTGCTGAGGGTAAGGCTGGGTCTTGTTTTGGCTTTTCTGTTTATCTATAGCAACACAAGCTTCCCCCAGACCCACGCTTGAGGCCTTCCAATCTCTCCCTTCCAAGCCTGAAGAAATGTCCTTTGGTGTCAAAACTCTCTCGATGTGGAGCCAGCCAGCTAGCAAGCAAGGATCTCTGGGATTAAAAGCACAGAACTGAGCTGCCTTTCATCTGCCAGTAAGGCCAGACAGAAACACACTGTTCTGGATTGCTTGGCTTGACTTCTACCCCCACCCCCAATGGAGAGCAGTCACTCTCCCCACTGATACAGGACTGAGAATAAGTTTAAAAAAMCATTTCACCCCGAGCCTTGGTGCTTGAGAACAGCAAACCTCTGAAGACCCTTAATRTAGCTTTTAGTGCAGAAAACATGAAAAAGCCAAGCCAGCTGTTGCATTCACATCTGACTTTTCCTCTTCTCTCCCCTGCACACCACAGACCCTGCAATGATCAGTGCCAGAAACAAACCAGCAGCTCGGAACACTCACAGTSTGATATGGCAGTCCAGAAGTCAAAATGACTCTTCCTTCCTGTCGGGCAATCTGGAAAAAAGGGTAAAAATCCAAATGAGCAGGGGCTGAAGCAACAGTGAGTTCAAGCTTTACCTGCAGTCACAGAAGAGCGAGGGTGAACTGGATATGCTGAGTGTTTCTCTCACTGTCAGTCCACACCTGGCCAAGAGCTCCTGACAGCAACAGCAGCTCAAGGTRAGGCTCACCCCTCATCCCCTCCCTGCCAATCCCTGCCTTGTCTCCCATGTGCTGSAACAAACTGCTGGTGCATCTGCACCACAGATGGCCCAAGGAACCATTCCACCTTGGAACAAYCCTATCCAAAAACAATCTTTTATTTTTTTCCCTTAACCCAGACTATTTCTATTTCCCCAGTCTGGGTCACAAAGAAGGAAGCAGTTCTGCTGCAGAGGTTAAAAAGGAAGAAAAAACCTAAGCAGGTAATTCCAGAAAAAAAAAATGTACATGAAATGTCTGCAAATTTACATTTACAAGTACCATTTACAAAAAACTCTCCTTCGAGAAAGAGAGTGTTACTGTCCCAGCAACCCAACACACAGGAATTATGCACCTTTCTTAGGCTGCAGAGAGTTTATCACCTCCTGACTTGCAGTCCTGAACTTTTGTCAGAGGTCTGGTCCTTCAARTGGAAGGTGTGTGCTGAATGAGCAGGCTCATCACCCGCCCAGCTGAGCTTCACAGGGCCTCAGAGACACTGCAAATGGATTGCTGCCAAAAGGAGACACTCAGGCTGGAGCTGCAGCGAGGCAAGTGTGACTGACCTGTGTATGATTGCAGGACATCCCTCCCTCCCACCCCTCACCCTCCTGGAGGAGGGAAAGAGCTTCATGGCTGCAGCAAGAGGAGGATTCCAAAGGATTCCCATGTGAACCAGGGCTCAGCTCTGATCCTGCTGACAAGAGATCAGTGCTTTGAAGTAGGCACGAGGTTATTTCTCTTCTCGGGCTTGCATTCTCTTGGAAGCCCTCATGTTTTTTCACTGACTCCAGATGTGTGTCATGGAGGTCTCTCATCTGGTTCAGAGTTCAGCAGCTTTCTCTGGATCCCTCTCAACCCTTGGCAGGAAGACACATTTAGGATCAGAGCCCTGCTGCGCTTCCCAGACAGMTGACACCAGTGAGCACAGACAGGGAACACCAGAAAAACCAACCAAGACTTTTAAACTCTGTCTTGGGTAGTCATTCTCTTAAGACTCACTGGACCTATGGCAATGGGAAGCAAGGGGGAGAAGGCTCTGAAGGCCCCATGCAGGCAGCTAAACAACCTGGTTTTTCTTTTTTCCCTTCCTGAACTTTCAGGTATCTGCTTCCCTCCTTTTGTTGTGAAGTCATCCTTTGGCCGACAGTTCTGCACTGAGAAAGCAACTGGCAGCAATCTCTGAAGCATCTTTCTAAAATTAATGGATTTGTTTCAAAATCAGCCCTCTCTCTCTCAAAGGAAAAAACCTCTAGGAACAAGACCCTTGAAGGGATAGCAGGGATGCCCCAYGCAGTCCTGCTACTGAGCAGCTACCACAGCACCCTCAAGGCATGTTAGTGAGGCAAGTCTGGTGAGACAACAGCAAAAGGTCACTACAGGGATTTGCTGACAAGAGAAAAGGGATGTGAAATTCCTCCAGACCCATGTTTGCTTCTGGGTAAGTCTACGGATTTCACAGCTGGAACACTCCATTCTGACTTTCTGCATCTAGGGTTAATTAGTTCAAGCTTGATAAATCCCCTTATCTAAATGGCTCTGCAGAGACAGGCAAAGAACTTAAAATAAAGAAGAGAAAAGCAATAACTCTTCCAGCATGTTTTTCTGCCTCTGGAACAATGACTGCGAGAAGCACGCAGAGCCAGAAAAGCCATGTGATAGCACACATCTGACTGAGAGCACTGGAGCTATGTGCTGGAGAAAAGGGCACAATTCCTGCTTTTCCTCCAAAAGCAACAAGGGAAAGCAGCACTGGGACCATGGGGGGATGTGTGGTCAGGGATGCAAACGAGAGGAAAAGARCACCCAGGGCAGCATTTTGGCGGGGATGTCAGGGACCTGTGCTCCAGCCCAAGTGCTGCAGAGAGGGCACTGGCCTCAGTTTCACAATCTATTACAAAGATAGTATCAACTTCCTCTGGAAAAGGCTCAGGCCTTCTGGATAGAAAGCACTCCCTAATCTGTTGCTCTTACTGATTAGCCCTTTACGTGCCAGTCTGTTCAGCCAACTTCCATCCTGCACAAGTGAATGAACCCCCAGGATCTGCTGTCAGACAGACCTGCAAGGGCCACGACTGAGGAGAGAGGGCACAGAGAGCCCTTTTGTTTCCAAGCCAGCACTAGCAGCAGGATGATTCGTGACATCCTAGAGGGTCCTGAGCCAAGGCCAAAGGAGCTCCAAGAAACAGCAGCACAAGGCTGTGGATTTGTAAGTTCAATTTTGCCAAGTCTGTGCAAGACACATGTTGGGCAAAGCCACATGTCATTGAAGAGCTAAATTGCAATCCAGGAAAAGTTTTGTCCCCCTTGCAGTGCTCCTGAGCCACCAAGGCCCCACTTCAGACCAAAAGGGAGCACACAGAAAGTGCCTGGCCCAGGTTATGTGCTGGGAAAGCACACAGACAAGAATCTGCTAGAGAAGTRGATTACAAAACCCAGTCCAAACCCAGAGCCCCTAACTGAAATCCCAGGCTCTTTTAAAACAGGCAGTAAACCAAGAGTTTAACAGCTCTGAGCACCCTCAGTCCAGCCCTGCCTGTATTRCAACCCTAAACTTCTCTTCAGCATTCCTGAAAACTATAAATTTCACCGAGTTATCACAGGATTTTGTAACATTGCCTGAAGTGTCACACCAAAACCATCCACCCAGCTTTGTTTCTCAATGCAAACCAACTTGTATCAAGGTCTCCAATGAAAGATYTTCTCCTCCTGCTGACCAAACATCAAAAGCCAAGTCTTGATCTTAAAAGCAATAMAGCTCTTCATCTGCCCCCTGTGAATTTAGCTCCCCACCAGACTAAAAAAGACGTGAAGAATGTCATCTACATCAAAAATATGGAAAAAGCCAGTCAAAGCTGAGACAAGATGCAAGATTAGCTTTCCCCATTAAGTGAAGATCTGCTCACTGCAGGATTAAGTCCCCTTTGTGTCACCTGGCTCCAAAGCAGTTTAGGGCAATTTAGATCTGGGTGTACAATGCTCTGTTGGGCTCCTGACACCCATCCAGCCCAGCCCTTCTCTCCTCCTTGCTGGAGCTTTGGAGRGTAGGTGTAACCCTTCAAGGGCATCTTCCATGGCATAGCAGCCTCCAGAAGCCAGTTTTACCTGCTTTCTGGTTWTTATCACACTTCAGAAGATAACAGATTTGCCTTAGCATCAGATTATTCTTAGAGATGAGGATAAATTTGGAGACCAAGAGCAAAGCCATTAAAAAATAAAGTAAACCCACCCAGAACTCATCTGAAGCACTTTGAGATTCCACTGAGTCTCCTATTAGAAACCTAAGAGTGCAGCAACATTTTCTAAAACACTTTGCTCTGCTCCTCAGGTACAACACTGCAGGATCTGGTCACTCAGGCTGGTGGATGATCCTTTAGTATTGGTATGAGAAGGATCCCACTGCTCTGCCCAATTCTGCAAAATTGCAGAGAAAAGAGGAACATCCACTTTTCCATCTTCCAATTTTATGGAAAACTCAAAAGATTGGTTTGAGATTCTCTGCAAAGAGAAGTTTGCAGAAGACAAGGTGGAATCATAGAATGGTTTAGAAGGATCTTTTAAAGGTCATCTCRTTCCAACTCTCTTGCAGTGAGCAGGGTCAGGTCTTCAACTGRGTCAGGCTGCTCAAAGCTTCCATTCAACCCRACMTGGAACATTTCCAGGGRTGGGACATGARAGATCTGGGTAGAAGCACAACAGATACAGGGCACAACTGAAGTAAAGAAACTTGTATTAATTGGAAAGAACATGTTGATTATGGGAGTAAGTTCAAAGGCAAAGGGTGGATCCCCAAACAATGGCACCTGCACACACAGAACCTGCTGYATCTCAGAGAATGGAGTCTCCACAYGCTTTRCTCATGGATTGCCTTGAGCTGGAGTCAGAGTCCCTGGGGAGGACTGGCTGGATGCACACAGCCCTGCWGCAGAGAGGCCACATGGAGGGAGCCAGGCTGGGGCCAGTCCGGGCCACTGCCCAAAGCACTGCACAAGGACCTGCCCGAGGTGGGCAATGTGTGCCAACAGCACGTGGGGGGTTCCACTCAATGCACAGGCTCCACGAGCTTGTACAGCACACCTGGAACTGATCCCACCCCAGAGCTGCAGAGCTGCTGTGCCACAGACAGGGAGGACAGCAAGGTAATGTGGGAAAATAGCACAGCCATCCCAGCGAGGGACAGGGCCTGGAAAGGACATCCCCAYTGCCCTTCTGAGAGGCTGCTGCTCRTGGACAGCAGCTAAAATGCTTCTGTAAGGACACCTGGGAACTCTGCCTTTCACACAAGGACAGATTTAACCASAGACATGCTCRGCATGGATTTCTACTATTATTCCAKTTTTAAAGATTTTCTGTATCTGCCCTTATGACAGGCAACTTTAATCAGTCACTTCTCCAGTCAGGTCCTAATTAAATAGCACYATTAAGTCACAGATTGCAAGCTGTAGCATCTCACAGCAGATAAACAGAACCATAGAATCACAGAATCTTAAGGCTGCGAAAGACATCCGAGGTCATTGAGTCCAACCATTAACCCAGCACTGCCCACTCTACCACCAAATCTGGTCAGCCAGGGGGGATCCAGTGGATTGTGGTGCCAGAGGCCCTGCTCTCACACCTCTGCAGATCTGCCATGACAAACACACCATGACTTGTCCAAGAGAAAACATTTAGTCAATAACAACAGCATGACATGAAGCAGAACACAGGACAACCGTTTCACATCCAAGGGAATGGGGTTGCCAAACCAATTCCTGCCACATGTGCYAGCTAAACAAAAAAAAAAAATAAAATCCATAACTGCCCAAACACAGTCAAGGAAGTCTGCAAGCTTTTAAGCTTGATCCCAAATAAAAGATGGTGAAGGGGCAGACCCATCTGCCTACCAATACCTGAAGCCACTTTAACAAAGAAAAGGAATGAGAACAATAAGCAGAAAATGCCAGGTGTTGCAGGAGTTCTTGGCACAAGGAGACATGTAATATGACTGATAAATCGTTTGAATGAGAAGACTTCAGTGAAGAACAAACACTAATGCTGTACACTCTCAGGTGCTCCTGGTGACATGAGTTTGAGACTGGGCTGGGACAACACCCAACCCTCAGTGACCAGGATCCAAACCCTCTGTTGGCCTTTGCAATAACATCCMCAAGTTCTTGGGCCTAGGGTGGTCAATGTTCAACTCTGATTCAGTCAGGACCAGCCAGATATAAAACAGGGTGGGAGGAGTCTATTTTTATCTTTGATTATCCAAGCCCAGATCAAAGGCTCTGCAATACAGTAACACTCCAAGGACTTTTGATAGTGAAAGGATGTTTGTCCGGTCACCATGGAGAAAGCAATGTCAAACATCCTGTCCGTAGCACGATAAGGGATCCGGACGAGAAGCGGAGACGGGGCTCTGGGKGGAGGCACTGGGAACCAGTTTGTTTAAATGACTTGTGCAAGTTTGGCAGGGAGGAGATATTAATTATTTCTGCAGAAGTTAGAGCCTGCCCTGGACTCAGGCCAAGCAGACATCTGAAGAGGAAACATCCTGCACACCAGGCTGGGTGATCCGTGCACATTTGATAGCACACAGTGTGTGGGCTGGACATCTCTGTCGACTCCCTTGAAGGCAGGGAGGCCCTGCAGGGAGGCTTGGACAAATTAAGAGAAGTGGCAATCACCAACCAGATGAAGTTCAACAAGGGAAAATGACAGATTCTGCACCTGCGATGGGCAACCCTGGATGCACAGACTGACTGGGGAATGAGATGCTGGAGAGCAGTGCCACAGAATGGTCAATGGCAAGTTGGACAAGAGTCAGCAGTGCCCTGGAGCCAGGAGGGTCATCCCTGTCCTGGGAGCATCCAGCCCAGCATCAACAGCCAGGCCAGGGCTGTCCTGCTCTGCTCTGGGCTGGGGCAGCCTCACCTTGAGCCACTGGGGCAGTTTGGGCACCACAATGTAAGAAAGATATTAAACTGTTAGAGAGCATCCAAGKGAGGGACATGGGGAGGGTGAAGGGATTGGAGGAGAAGCTATATGAGAAGTGGCTGGCGACACTGGGKCTRTGCAGCCTGGAGAAAAGGAGACTGAGGGGAGACTCACTGCAGTTCCAAGTACATGGTGAGGAAGAGGGGCAGACACRGATCTCTTCTCTGTAGTGGCCACGGACAGGACCTGAGGGAACAGCCTGGAGCTGGGTCAGGGCAGGGTCAGGCTGGAGATCAGGGAAAGGTTCTTCTGTCCCCAGAGGGTGCTGGCACTGCCCAGGCTCCCCAGGGAATGGTCCCGGCCCCGAGGCTGCCAGAGCTCCAGGAGCGTTTGGACAGCGCTGCCAGGGATGGACAGGGTGGGGCTGTTGGGGGGTCTGGGCAGGGACAGGGGCTGTTCTCAATGTTCCTTGTGGGTCCTTGCCAGCTCAGGAGATTCTGTGATTTCATTATCTGCACTCCCAGCACAACAGAAATGTGTCTGAAATGAAGTAGCATTTGTCTCTTGTCTGCTAGGCAGAAGGTCASAGTTGTTATGGGAGCCCAAAGCAATACTCATGGACGCCGTGAGCTTCTTCCTTTCCCAAATACTTCACTGAAAGTTGTGGCTGATCACCTTTGAATTACCTGACAAGGCCAGGACTTACATGGCCATTGATTATGGACATTCTCCYTTCTTTATTGAACAGCCATCTGTGGATTATGGTCCTGTCCAATTGACCTCGACACAAAGCAGGCAAGCCCAAATTGGAGTGCATTAGAAATCCCAGTGAATGATGGGTTCCTTTCACTGATTTTTGTCTTGTTGCAAACACACAGCCTCCCCAAAGACACTTTGGGGGTTGGAGATGATCATGAAGGTCCCTTCCAAGCCAAACCATTCYGWGATTCAATGATCTTTGTACTCCCCTTGTGCTTTCATGACTCGAACTGCCCTAGTGACACACGTAAGAGCCAGAGCACAGCACCCTCTGCTCCCCTTCTCTCTCCTGCAATGGAGAACCAAGRCCACACACCAGAGCAGGGACCAGCTGATTCCAGCTGCCAGAGCTYCTTGGGGTGACCCAAAGAGCTGGGACTCAGCACAGCTATGAGAGAAGGGACGCAAGGGGCAGCTCCTGGAGCCTGAGCACAGCTCCCCAGCAAGCAGCATCACATCCCCATGGAGATGGGAGCTGTGAACTCACCTCAGCAGCTTTCCTGTGGTCATCCTGGTTGTCCAGCAGCCGGACATCCACCCCTAGGCAGCGCAGGTAGCGGCCCAGGCCCTGCAGCATGTTGTCACAGACCACGCTGAACTCCTGGGGGGAGATAGGGGCACGGGGACACGAGGGCTCTGTTTTGGGTCCTTGGCATTCCTAGAGAAAGGCAAGAGATCCATAAGGAGCAGCAGGCTGATTACCAGGACATCTGTGCTTTTCCTCCCTGTGTTCACCCACCACAGCACATCCAACTGCCACTTTCCAGCTGTGTCACCATCTCCCTGTGTTCTGCAGCACCTCCAGATCGTCCTTCCCATCCTTTCCCCATTGCCATGACCACATGGGCAGGAGGCAGAACATGATGGGGGTAATTCTGAATTCACCATTCTCTCCCTGACCAGCTGGCCACCCGATCCAGGGACCTGCAATCTTCCCCTGGAAAAGCCTCCCCTTCTTCCAGCCTGGTCTTCAGTGCTCTGCAGACATTCACCTTCATGAAGTCACAGAAACATCATCAAGGCTGCTGTTCTCCTACTGAATTTGTCTGCAATAATTAAACATGTGGCAAGCTAGGATTTGGGAAGGGGATCTCCCGACAGACAGAGGGAGAAACAGGTAGACAAAGCAACCACGTCAGCTCTGTTATCTTTGGAAGGTTAAAAATAGGCAGTGCCTGAATTCTGTTTGTTTTATTTCAAATGTCTGATGCTGGGAGAGTTTCTGCACTCAGAGGACTTTGGCTTTGGGAGGGTCCCAGAAGTACACTAGCTAAAGTCATGGAGGAGGGAAGTTATTAAGGAACTTTCAATGTCCAGCTTTTGACTCCCAGAACTTGAATTAGCTGAGATGCCTGAAGGACACGGCCAGCAGCTCTGCAGGAGCTGGCTCAAAGCTGGGAATGCTGTGGCACACCAGGCATCTCCACCTGGGCCAACCATGGGAACCAGCTCAGTTCCAGGAGCAACACTGGTGTGATGCTGCAGCTCCCACCAGCTGTGCCCTGGGAAGGCTGGGCTGTCACCAGCTCTTGCAAGATCCTGGTGGATGTGATGCAGCTGTGACACCAGAGTTCTGTGACAAGGGRTGGAGCTGCCCCTCTGAAGCTGAGACAATTGGAAGACACCAGCCCTGGCTGCTGCTGCTGATCCAACAGATGTGCAGGAGCAGCACAGGGCTCTCAGCCAGTGTTTATCCAGTGGCCAGCACTGTCAGACRTAGCTTTTTTCTCACGTTTCATGCCAGCAGAGTGCAAAAAGCTTATAAAGGAGAACAGAGTCATTAGCCCCACTTYAGACAGTGGACCAGGAAATACTGGGAAAGAGAAATTGGAGTTCTGCAGGATGCAGAGTCAGAAGTCTGCACTTTTTGGCGTCCCAGTCCAGGTTTTACCAGCTGCCTCTTGGTTGAGGAGTCTGACTGCACAGAACACAAAGATGACCCATGGGTTTCCAAGGTAATTGAAGCCTGAAGTGCTCACTTTTCTCATCTCTGCAGCAGCCATCAGCTCTGCTGTAACACATAACATTCCCACRAAGTCAGTGCTTAGGAAGCTCCTGAGCAGCTCCAGGTTCTGCTGCCTGCCAAGGGCCAAGGGATGCTGTACACTCACACCTGAGGTGGATCCAGTCAGGAGCCATGGAAGAAGGCATTGACTTGAGGAGATCAACATTTGGGGCTCCTCAGAAGGATCCACAGTTATACCCAGGGAGTCTTCTCAGGAAATAACAAAATGGGATTTCTGCTAAGGTTTACAAAGGTGCACAAACCACCGAATGGTTCCATTTGAAATGTAAAACTTTATTACTGAGAAGGACAGGTCACATTCCAAGATATTTAAGCCAAGTTGCACAGCTCTGGTGGAGTTTTAAGGCTCTGTCACAACACAAACTTCTCAGAGAGGCCACTCATGGAATGTGGTGGTGGGCAAGGAGACAGAGACAAGCCTTCAGCAGAAAGGCATTTTTGATGGATYATTTTTGCTTTTAACTTTGCAGACTTCTACTCCAAACACAATAAAGGAGATATTCCCAGTGTGAAAACAAGCTGTGGAAGCTCAGTGAAAACCAAAAGTAAAGAAGTCAGAGTTTTGAAACCTTGGCCAAAGAATCCAAACCCATAGCACCAAGGAAATGTGGAAGGAGCATTTCTATCAGCAARGCTTCCTGGGCTCAGCACACAGATCTGCAGCCACATTGTGCAAAGACAAGTGAACCTCAAAGTGCAGGGAAAGGTGAACCCAGGCAGGCCAAGGAGAGAGCACTGTTGCAGAAGGGAGGGGTGAGGAGGATGTTTGCTGCAACAGCCCTGAGAACAGCCAGGCACAGCTAATGGTGTGACCGAGAGCAGCAGCGTGTGATTCGCAGGGGTCTTGAGCAACAAGCAGCTCTTTGAAGWTGTTTACAAACCTGTGCAGAAGGTGATGGTGCTTCTTGTTTATTCAGCTGCTCCTTTGCTCTGGGCTTTTTGCTCTGTTTTCCCACCAGGCTTTCTGTCAGGTCTGAACCCAGCCCGAAGCTCTCGGGGTCCTTGCAGAGCCTCTCGTAGATCTCCAGCAAGCAGTAGGCATCTGAGGCTGCAGGAGAGACAGTATGAGCCCCCAGCTGATGTGAGTCTCATTCCAAAGTAATGCAGAGGCTTTCCTGATGCAAGGAAGAGCCCCCACCTTTGTAAAACCACTGTGAACAACTATGAAGTTGCAGCTCTCTCGGGTCATACCCTCAGCTCCAGGACTGACTCACTGAGCATCCCAGCTGAACCCACGGTCACAGAGGTCAAGGCAGGAGCTCCTCAAGTGACAGGCTCTGCCATCACCACTCTAACCCAATGCAAACTGCACTGTGGCTCTTCTGGCCAGCCCCTGTTCCTCACCATTGTCCCCAAGCCTGCCCACAGCTCCTTATCACATCTCTGGATGGGATGGGAAGGGAACTTCCTCAGGAGATGCGATATCTCAGCAGGTACTGCCCAAGCTGTTTGCAATCACCTGCCCACACTCACTGCTCTGTGCTTCTGCTCCCTGCAACGGCAAGGGAGAACTCTCCCAGCCAGTCTGACAAGTCCTAGTGATTAACTTTTGTGGGAACTGTGTCAGCTTCAAGGATAGTTGAATTTAACAAAGGGCTGGTTTGCATCAGCAGACTGTCCTTTGATACACCAGGAAAAGATTTAGACCCAGACTTCTGACTCTGGGGTAATCAGCAATAAACTCGGTGGGTCCTTCCATAGCCCTGAGTTTGTGCTGCAGTTTCTGATATCACATCTGCCCATTTCAAACCCAGCTCTAACAAGCCCTTCACTGGGACAAATGAACACAGCATTTGTTTCCCAGGAAGGCTGTGAAATGAGGCAGAAGGAAGTGGACTTTCCTCCTTTCAGTTACTGAGACAAGTTTCCACTGAGGTGATGTTTCATCAGACAGAATATGCAAAGCACAGGAATTCCTACATAAGGGAAATAATGAATCACTGGACAGTTTAAACTTCAGCCATTAAAGTCATGTCYGTAAAAGGACAAACAAAACATGTGCTGACTCCTCTGAACAGGAACTAATCTGCAAAGCCATTTTCTTCCTCTGCTACTTAACGACTTTGCTGGTGACAGAGCAGCCAAGCACAGCCTGCCCTGGGCACCTGCAGCACCCCAAGCCAGGCCCAGACCTGCATAGAGGATCTGCTCCTCCCGCAGTGGCCGTTTCTCCCAGTTTGACAGCTGCTCTGTCTTATCCAGAGGCTTGCCCAGCACATGTTGCACCAGSAGGCTGAGTCCTTTCTCCGGCTGCCTGACCCCTCTCTCCTCATGGCTGTGCTCCGGGGACGGTTCATCGACCTTCCGGCCATCCTTCCTCCACTGCAGCTGATGGAAACAAAAAGATACAAACCACCTGGTTAGAGAGCAGCTCCCAAAGCACCTCCTGTTCCAGCTGGTGGGGCCAGGCACAGCCCTATCACATCCATCTCTTGCCTGGAATATTGAACTCTGTTCTCTCTGYTCTTGGGATGGCAAGAGAGAAATACGGCGTCGGGTGATTTGTTTAACAAACACACTTGCTGGAGAGAAATCTGTTTCATAGCCAAGGATGGAAAAAAAAGGGCATTCTTGTACAGCACTGCACCRGAGAGCAGGGCTGGGATCAGGCTCCTCAGGGGTCTTCAGGATGCTCACTGTGGGGGAGGCTGCTGGGCATCCACTCCRCAGAGGACCAGCAGTGGCAGCTCAGCACCTTTCTCCTCCTTGTCCCGGTGGGAAAAAGCATTCCTGTGACACCCTGGGCAGCAGCTCTTCCTGCAGCTGCCCTTTGTCAGGTTAAACYAAGGCAAAGGCTGTTGGCAGCTATGGCAGCCCCTGCAGCACTTCCCTAGGTTAAGATCTCAGTCCAAAAATCTGCTTCACCCCAACCCACAGCCTCAAARACTCCATACATGTTACCCATTGCAATGGTTGTGCTTAACATTTCTGCAGACTGCTGAAAGCTCCTGTGTGCAAASCCAGGGACAGCTGTGCTTCAGCTGAGCAGAAATTCCTGTGCTGAGCCTACCAGCAGMCCTCCTAGGAACATCAGAGTACTGTACAAATCGTTAACTCCATTATACATCCTTCACTACTGCATGGTCTTGGAGAAGCAGAATTCCTACAAGAATTACTTACAAGTRTAACTTGTGCTCAGAAACCTTATCCTGGCTGAATGCAGGTGGGTCTCCATTTTAAGAGCTTTTCAAGCTTTTCTAAAGGCTATGAAAAAGCTGTCAGTATCRTAAGTTTTAATTTTTTAGTTGATGAAAACAAAATGCTTCTGTCTTCCTTTATGGAATTCCAATACCTCAAAACCTCTGGAGGAAATGGTCTATTTCCTCAYGCAGCCATCTTCCTGCCAATCCAGGGTGCAAACAGACAGTGCTGCGGACTCAGGGCAGTTATCCACCAGCTCATGCAGGAGACACCACTTCCCAAATCTCCATGTGTTTATCCTTACTTGTTTGTCCACTGCAAGTAGATCCACCACACTTTGCATTCGCTTCTCTGTGTCTTTCAGAGCAGAACATGTGACTGCAAGGCTGCTGAGGTCTCCAGACATCCCATAACCTGGAGACAAAAAAAAGCCCAMATCACACAGGTAGGAAAACTCAAATCGTGGTTAATGCGCTGCAGCTTCTTCTAGTTCAGCGTGAAAATGCTGACAAAATATTTACAAACATTGGTGGGAAGACTGTTCAAACAGGGAACAAGACTGGCTCCTGTCTCTTCTGTTCCYAAGAGACACTTCTGCACATCAAGGGAAAAGGGAGGTAGATGAAAAATGCTGGATTTAAGATCAACTTACTTAAAATCTGGGAAAGGTATTTATGAATTTGCCCTTGAAATCCAGATTTAGCAGCTCCCGATAAAAGCCTCAAAAAAACCATGTATGTTAATTCAGAGAGCTCTGGTGTCAAGCACAGCAGCTCTGGGACAGGGATTGCACACCCAGAAAGCTCTGCCCACCAGAACTCCACAAATCACTGAAGGCTGGGTGCCAGCCGGGGTTTAGTATGCTAGGACAATCCCAAGTCCAAGAGTGTGAGCTAAATCAGGAATCTTGGATCTGACCTGAAATGGGGAGATATAATGGCATGGACTTGTCTCAGGGGAGGGTTAGGTTGGAGATGAGGGAAAGGTTGTTCCCCAGAGGGTGCTGGCACTGCCCAGGCTCCMCAGGGAATGGTCCCGGCCCCGAGGCTGCCAGAGCTCCAGGAGCGTTTGGACAGCGCTGCCAGGGATGGACAGGGTGGGGYTGTTGGGGGGTCTGTGCAGGGACAGGAGCTGGACTGGGTGATCCTAGGGAGTCCTTTCCAGCTCAGGATTTTCTGTGATTCTCTGATCTTGCATTTCTATCATTCCCAGTTACACTGGTCAGTGCTTCCTGGCTTGGCAGTGCCTGAACACCCAGGAGTACAAAAACTGATTCCCTGGCAAGTGGATTTAGGGAATGRCAACACCGAGAGATCTAGGAATGACAAGATGGCAAGATAGGCTGTGTGAAGCCCTGAGRTGGGGAGAAGAGAGGGTTATTACCTAGTTTAGTGATGGTTGCATCTGAATAGAGCCTCTGGATGAAAYGGGGAAGCTTCTCCCTCTCCCCCTCGGCCTCAGTTTGCTCAAGGAGCCGTGGCAGGTCCAGCAGGAAAACCTCATCCTTCAGTGCAAGCTGCAGGAGGGCGACACGAGGCTTCCCCACCATGCCAAAGGAAGGCTTCCACTCCATGTCCATGCCAACGAYCTGCCCAGGCTGCAACAAGACACTGTGCACTCAGAGCCTGGCTGTGCTTGAGAGGAGCCTACAGAGTCTGCCCAGGATGTGGGCATTTCCCTCCCGAGTCCTGCAGCTCTTTGTGCAAACTGCCACAGACACGGGCAACTCTCAGAGCACCCATGTCCCCCCATGGGAACCCTCCCTGGCACAATTCCTAATGCCTTTCCCAGAGCAGACGAGTGGAAAGGAGCAGCTGTTCCTGGCTGGGGAGGCAGGCACTGGATGGCAGTGGCCACRTGCAGCCCTGTGTACCAGCCTGGCATGGAGTTCCTGCCCCCTGCCCCTGCCAGGCCAACCACAGGTAACACTCACCTGCAGCACCTTCTCCCAGCACTGCAGCGTCTCCTCCCATGTCTGCAGAAAGTGAATATTTTCCCGTGGAATAGGAAGCTGGTAATAGTCCTTCTTCTTACTGTCCTCAGAACTATCTGCTTTTGTGACCTCTTTTACCCTACACAGAATCAGATGCAACAGTCTTAAACCATGACATAGGAGAAAATCCTGGATTGGAGGAAGAGGGGTAAGTCTTATTCCCCTTAATTCATCCTGGCCCTCTTTCCCTGCGAAACTCAGCTCTTTCTCTTACCCTCTCTTTCCTCACTTTCCCTGTAATCTCAGTCTTTCATCCTAGAATCACACAATCCCACATTGGTTTGAGYYRGAAGGGACCTTRAAGCCCATCTYRTTCCCCRGCCCCTGCCATGGGCAGGGACACCTYCCACTGTCCCAGGCTGCTCCCAGCCCCAATGTCCAGCCTGGCCTTGGGCACTGCCAGGGATCCAGGGGCAGCCACAGCTTCTCTGGGCACCCTGTGTCAGAACCTCCCAACCCTCACAGGGAGGAATTTCTTCCCAAAATCCCGTCTATCCCTGCCCTCTGGCAGTGGGAAGCCATTCCCTCCTCAGCCTGTCTCTCCAGGTCCTGTCCCAAGTCCCTCTCCAGCTCTCTTGTAGGCCATCTTGGTTCATCCTCCTTTCCATTCCTCTCCCAGAAGTGTCCCTGTATCCAGGAGCTCTCCGTGCACTGTATCCACTTGCTGGAGCCAGAGCCCTGTCCTCAGCTCATCTCTCTTGCCCAGCACTCAGATGCCAAGGGTGGGCAGCCATTGGCACATTCAGGAATAACAAAGATTTGGTGCTTCCTGTCTTGGAGCTCCCAACACAGGGGAGCCTGGGGGCTCCAGGGAAGCAGCTCTGAGCAGCTCTGTGTCCAGGGGAGCCTGGGGGCTCCAGGGAAGCAGCTCTGAGCAGCTCTGT